CATTTAAGATGGAGACCTCTTGCTACGACGAAACCTAGATATTGCTAGGGGAGAAAGGTGTTCAATGTTCATTTATTGTGCACAAGCAAACTACGTAAGAATTGCCCCTGTTAGGGGGTCTGTATCGCAGGACAGAGAACCTGTTAGCTAGGCTGAGAGTCCAAGTCTATAGGGTCTGATTTCAAAGACTGAATCTTGGAGTCCGGGTAGACTCCACTAGCTTCCACAATATATACATGGGGTTCCCGTGTACCGAGTCCCTACAACCCCACATAATGTCTTGAGGGTTGTTACCCTAAGGCGGCGCGGGGTCGATTCGATCGTGAATCGTCTCGAGTCACCATATGTGACTCGCGCCGTGATAGGCCCCGTAGACGATTACTTCCGTTTGAGGCCTTGGCGGCCACGTGTCTAACTGGGTATAAATTACTCCCTTCACAGAAAAGCAATTTCCTATAAAAGATTTTTTCTTTAAAAAAGCCAAAGATAGTCGAGGGAATCGCTCGTCACTTCAAAGTTCTTGCTATGGTATATCATACCAAAATAGTATCGACTTCGCAGAGCAGATGCGACCGAGTACAAGGGGCCCTTATTCGCCAACCATTTGCCGCTAACTTATGTAGCATTACGAATTTGATGCGCTTGTGCTATAGGCTGTTTCAAGGTTGCTAACTACATAATAAAGTCTTCCTAATTAGAAGATTTTTTTCGTATTTCTAGCCATTTTGTACCCTCCGCTACTCTTGGCGCCCGCAACGAACCTATTGGGAAACTGTGCGTAAACACTTGTGGAGGAAGACGGTCTATAGCGAGCATGCGGTGATAGCGTGGGAGAATCTTCCCGGTGCAAGAGCGCCTATATATTAGCGCTACCACCTTGAAATGTTTGAGCCGTCGGCCCTAAGCGCTCCTGTAAATATAATCACAACATTGAGACCTTTTGTCTCGTAAAGTTTATTTTTAGTATAGTGCTTCGCATATAAGCACCGCTCCGCCCGCATTTCTCTAACTAAACTATCAAAGACCAAGTTTACTCTCGACATCGAGGCATAATGAGGTTTGAATCCACAGATGAATCCACAAACGGAACTGACGAATTGACCCTAATACTCGGTGAGTTAGTGTACTGAATTTAATTGTTTACTTCTGACGAGAGACCCTGTGAGATAGACTCTGTCAAGGAAACAGAATATAATCCCTTCCTTGCGTAAGATCCAATGCGAGATCATCGAATATTCAAGGCCTCTGCGAAAAGGCAGTCAAAAACGGTTATGAATCATGCATATGGATATGTTTCAGCCGAGGATCCCGCTTCCTTGCTAAGGATATACCTATTAAAGAAGACGAAGATAGAATCGAAATCCATAGGCTGAGAAAATGTCGCGGATGGTGGAAGCGTATTTCTCTGCGCCCCGCCGTCAAAATCTAGGAGGTCAAGGTTTGTCAACTTTTCTGAATGGTCAATGTTACGAATCTGACAAAAATCGTAGATTCATGCTATACGAAAACAAAGCAACAAAGAAATCGAAGTTGTGGTGCTTCCCATCAATTATTCCTTAGAGATGGCAGATATACAGAGAGAGATAGAAAAGCTCTCTCCTGACACAACGAACTGTGACGCTGGATTCAATGAAAATGGTACGTTTCAGCATTGTTCGAACGGGGGCCTCTGTCCAAATATCATGATGGATGAAAACGGAGGGGAGCCGGTATTCTACTGTGCTTTAGAGCGGCGTCAACAACTCCGAAAATACTTCAGGAACCTCCAATATAGACAGCCCATGCTCGACTTCTATTGGAATTCCGAAGGGAGAAGCGACTGCCAACAATTTCTGAAAGAGTCCGGCTTAGTAACACAGTATCCGTTAGTATTGATTGCTAGTTTCCGTGATGTATTGGAAGGCTGACAACCTGTTAGATACTTGAGAACGTGCCATTACCTTGACGCTGCCGTTTCTTATGGGGACACTTTTCCCGGAGAAAGTATTCCTACTTTATTGTTGGTTGACGGATGGGACTTTTCTCGTCTACTCACTATTATTGGATTTGCTATAGTCATTTCCATAGTCGTCATAGCAATTGGGTCTGCAGCTGGACAGAGTATCAGTACTGGGCTAACGGCAGGCAGTTATGCATTTGGGGCGGTGTCCGTTTTAATCGCCACCCTTACTCTCTTTAGCGCTGTAGTCTGAATCCATTATCAATACCGGAAATTCGTTTAACCAAATCATATTCCTTTGTTTATGCCTCTGCTTTATCTATATGCGCGGGTGTGGCTGTTAAGAATGCCTTTTATGACTAGCTTATCTGGATCCTGGGCCCACAATGGAGTCCCAAGAACCGGCGTGCTTACGTCAAGTATGTTTGGTAAGACTATACTGTAAAGTCGCTTCTCTCCTGTGTGTTAAACCACAGGTTGAGAAGCGCTGTTTCACAATTACAGCAGTTGAGAATCAATGTATAGCGTGCTGTAACATCAAATACTGGATCTCAGTATTAGAATCCCCGTATCTTCATCACTCGACAGTCTACGCGTCATTGCCACACTGAACTAGCTCTTTGTCTTGTTTAGTATATATTATTTGTCCACGTAAAACTTGTGCCGGGACCCAGCTTCAATCAGTATGTCCAGGTTTCTATCTTAAATATTTTCCTCGTGCGAGATCCAATGCCAATGGACGCGACATCAACCATGTCTGAACTCAAGGACGTGATGCGAGACTTACTTCTACGAGGCCGGTTCTCTGACATGAAGATTCTTTGCCAAGGAATTACTTTCAAGGTTCACCAAGCTATTGTGTGTACTCAGTCAAGCTATTTCTGTAGCGCGATGTGTGATGGCTTCAAGGTATATTTTGACAGGAAACGGCAGATATTTTCGGTCGCTTACTTACTTTTTAGGAATCGATTGAGAAAGCTGTCAATATCGAAGACGACACCCCAGAGACCATAGAGCGTGTTCTATCTTTTCTCTATCTCAGGGAGTATAGTGAGGATGGACACATAGTTCAATATCAACAACCCATATCTGCGCTTCCCATTTGTGACCATGAGTCTGGTTCATCTCTTTCGGAAAACAAGCCAGAAATCTCAGAGCCAGCCAACCAAGCTGCTTTCAACAACATTGAAGTATTCATCGCTGCTGATAAGTACGCAATCCTTCCATTGAAATCTCTGGCTACCCTGAAGTTTTCACGATGGGCGAACACAAATTGCAGCTCTCCAATGTTTCACGAAGTCGTGCAAAAGGTCATGACGTCAGTACCACCACATGTAACTCTTCGGGAAGTGATTGCAGACGTCATATCGAGGCGTGTCTTCGACCTTATCAAAGACCCGGAGATAGTACACAACTTGGATTCTTTTGGATGTCTTGGGTCCCTCGTTATTGCGAGATTAGTCAGCAACGAGATGGTGAAACGGCCTAACGAATATGACGTTCTGCGAGCGTTGGTTCAGAAGATCAACTCTTCTCGGCGCTGTCGGCATTGTGCGAAAGATTTTAACGTAAGATTAATAAGTGGGGAGTATCTAGATGAGAATTTCCGCTGCGCTTCTTGCAATACCCGAAATTGAAGCGTCCTATTTTATTTTCTGGTTTCGTCACAATTGTTGTGGTCCCTACCACTCTACTCTAAAGTAGAGAAAGGAGTAACAGAGGACCAATCATATATCAATAGCTCCTACGCCGTATTCGATATCCATAGTAACACGCGGACGATCTCTTTGAAGATGGAATCTGCCAGTCTCATCACTGCATTCTCTCTTTCAGCTTTATACGTATTGATCGTCGTTTCGAAATATTGGCCCGTAATTCGCTCCTCATTTTGCGCTTGGCCGGGATATTTGTATGCAAGGATTTCATGCTGGCCTCTATGGTCGATTTGCTTTGATTTGACAAATGGACTCGGTGAAAAGCGGCCAACTTGAACATGCGTCGCATATAATGCATCTGAAGTCATTTTCAAACATAGATTTTCTACGTACTTGGAATAACATTGTGTTGCTAAAAATCCCTCTCGGTTATGACCAGGAAATCATCTACGTACCCTTCTTGAAATCTCCTGTGTTTTTTGACTCTTCTCGCGCTATGGGAGAACCTATTTGAGCAATTTGAGTATAGTCAAATTTCCGGCAGCTGCGGTATCTCAGAAATGTTGAAGCCGGAGTAGATTCCCTAAGGACCAAATTCGGTGATTTGATGGGACAATTTTCTCTGGCCCATCTTTCGTAATCTGGAGTATCATGCGAACTGTATCGGCTTCCGAGTTATCTTCGTCTGGCTTTTGCTGTCATCCTCGTCGACAACAATGGAACTGGCTCTAGTTAATCCATTTGAGACAGTTAGAACCACATCGGACATGGCGTTAGGTGCAAACTGAGAAAACCATTGGTTGTTTAGCTTCGTGAACACAGTACTCAAGCAGAAAATGGCCATTGCATATTTTAAAGTCAATCTTCTCAACTCAGATACCGCAAAATGTTTGATATTCCAAGCACAAAGCTGCTGTTCTGCTAGATGGGGCTGATCAGTTATGGGGTAAAGGTGAACGTGAACGTTATATATGGTGGTGGCCCCATAAACGTACTACAACGGCCGGAGAGCACATTGTTCCACTGCGATATGAGGTCGAAGTGATAGACGGTTGGATTAAGCTTACTAAGTCCTCTGTTGCTTGAGCAAGCCGATAATTTCGAAACCTTTTTCGCGTCCAACGCATAATGTGATAGAGATGTCCTCGTGTTCTCCTTCTGGTAGCAGTGTATTGCAGCAATCAGTTATTGGCTTATCCAGGCCTCTTTCCATCTTCCACTGATTACTAGCCTGAATGGCCTTAGAAACAACAGGTCCCAAGAACGGTATGTGGTCGACGGGTGCTTTCGAAAACACGTATTGGATCCCTGCTTTCCTGTTAGCAAGGCTTTGTTTATGAACACGCATCACTTACGCCTGCCTGACTGATTCTCATTATCTGCTCGTTCGCTTGAGGATCGGTCACCTAAGGATCCTTCTGTACTCCGTGTTTGTTTCTTAGATAGATGTTGGGATTCCCTGTCTCTGTAGGGCTGCTTTATGGCTAGTCGTTTGATGAGCGTGGCTCCTCATAGGGACAAGAGAACTTACCTTCGCGAAATATATTATATTCTCGGTTTTCTTGCAGAATGCCTTCTTCTTGTTGGAGTTTGTCCAACGTGTCCGCTACTACGAGCGGCCACTCATATGGGGTTTCCTCTTCAAGAAACTCTGTCACAAGCTTGACAACCTTGAAAGCCATTTTATCGCTAGTCCAGCGACTCGGTTCAAAGGTGATTGACCACGTAACAATAGTGTCCGGATTAAGGCCTCGAATAGCTTCAATTTTTCTCACTATAGCTTCCTTTTTCAACCTGTTTCTGGAAGAATCAAGTGTCGAGAATTTTGTCTCGCCAAAGATTGTAAGGATATTTCTTCGAAAGATTGTCGCTTTGAAAGTTCCATTCTTGCAGAGTGCTCGTCTGGAAATACGTCACAACCGCTCACTATGGTCAAATCTCTCCTCAGTAGCAATCTCACTCCTTATCCCTCTCTCACATCATACAGCTGCCCCTATCGTAGCTGTATATCATCCATATCGTATATGATTACCAGCTCCTAGGCCCTCCTATAACGAGTAACCTACTTTCTCAAAGAAATTCCTTTCACTACGTGGGAAGGTGCTCCTGGCTACTACATTGCGCTTCATTCATTGCCCTGTAGTCCCAAGAATACTAAGTGCACCGCTCACTAAGTGCAAGCTTCCTGTTATAAGAACATGTGTCTCTTTTGTCCCATATGCCAATTTAAAGGCCTGACCAATCGTACGAGCCAGCTTCAGAGCATCCTCGATAGTCTGTCTACAATATACCTTGGTACTGGGTTCGTGTTCCTTCCAGCAACGCACGTATTCGTCCAACTTGTCCAATTTGGATCGCGCTCTCAGATTCCTGTCTACGATAATATTAACAACCTGCCAGGTTCTCCTTATGATATTGGGATACATACCGATTCTTACGTGCCCGTTAGCTCGCTCATTGTAGGTAGTCAAGATTAAATATTGTACTTCGAGTTTCTCCGCGTAGAGAGATTTAAGGATAGTACGCAAGAGAGTAGCGCCATCACGATCTGAAAAATGGCTGAATATGACTATCCTCGTCGTTGAGGTATCGACACTATAGGAATAAGCACAATATCACAGAATGTGTTCATAGGTCACCAGTTCTTACCTTTGTGATGTACTCGTTTCAGCAAACCATGACACTGCGGTGGACAATCCTGATTCATTGTGCGCACCGTCAAGAAACCATTTGTGATTGCCATCTTCGGTTATCTGCTGGTAACGCCCTGGCCAGTCAAACATCCGTAAGCCCCTATTGATATGCTCACTAAAGCTGAGCAATTTCGCAGGCTTCCGAAGCGATATCCATTCCTTAGCCACTTCTATGGCAAGTGAGCAGTTTTCTCTTTGAGAACGTATCACTTGTAGCGATGAATCTGGCTCAACAAATGACAAAGTCACATTTTCGAGCTCACGCGCACGCTGCTCGAGAGCCTTGGTGACCTCTGCCTCCTGGGGCGCCGAGAAAGCTCGGCAACCAGACTTAAAGATGCCTGCCTTATGCCGAGCGATATCTTGAAGGTCGGGCCCAAGTAATCTGACATGGTCCTTCGCAATTCGAGTCACTGCTGTTACTGCTGGGGACCGAATGACATTTGTCGCGTCATAAGTGCCGCCCATGTGTGGCTCGTAGACTGCAACATCGACCCCTTCTTGTAGAAAGACATGGAAAGAAAGCAAGGTCAAAAGCTGAAGGTATCGAGGAAAGTCCATGTTGGCACTAGCTTGAAGCGGCAGTTTATCCCATATCTCGAAAAGATACGTAGTGAAGGTCTCTTCCTTTATCGGTCGGCCATTGATCCTGATTCTCTCGCGTATAGTGAGGAGATGTGGCGAAGTATAGAGCCCAACTTTGCAACCGCAGCTTTGAAGTATGGACGAGATATATGCACAGGTGCTTCCTTTTCCATTTGTTCCGGCTACGTGGATAACGTTCAGTCTTCCCAAGTCGGCTTGCTAGTAGAGCGTTAGTATTTTCACTCTGTCGTGACATCAAGCCTCGTCATACAGAATAACCGAGCAATTCCAACAATTTCAACATATCATCCGAACCCCTCATTTGGTTTAGGTCTGGCTGCGCAACGCTCCGTCTCGAATTAAGACGCTCAATAGCATCCTATAGAAGTCAGAAGTGGACCTCTCTAGGAATGTGATAGTAACTCACTTCATATTGCCGGGCCATCATAGCAAATATTCCTAATGGGAGGGATATTTTCACGATGTTTGTGGGATACGTTATTACTGAACTAGCGGGGACTGCTGGCTACGGCGGCAATCCAGGTCACCGCTCGGGAGTCGGGGATACCGCCATCTGGCAGAATCACGTATCATACGACACATATCCAAATTCGCCTGTACTGTTACACTGTAGCTATCTAGTATCTACATCAGCGTTTCCAGTACAAGTTTACAAGGTTCATATCGGTGGGTCTAGTATTACGGATGTATGGACGGCCGCAACTACGTAACAGCTACCGCACTTAGTGGCCTACTCATCACCTCTAGTACCGGTTTACTAGTGTGAAGGTATATATAAGTCTAAGGCAACACTAGTCCTTTACTTTCACTGATGTATCGCTGAAGCTGGAAGATATCGAGGTTTTGGATGAGGTACTCGAAAGAGGGGCAGACTTTTCTACTACTGTTAAGAAAAACTTTGATTAAAGATGATGTATTAGTAAAAAGAACTATGATTAGTATTACCAGATAGGTACCTAGAGAGCGTAACTGCGTACTGGAAACGCGACACGGGATTGGATGGGCAGAGTGTACTGGTCCCGTCGTGGGGTGGAGGCGCAGAGTGCGCACTGGGTACGCGCCATAGGATTGGCTGAACACCGGGTGCACTTGTTGCGCAATGGAGGCGCAGAGTGCACCACTGCACAGTGTACAGTGCATAGTGCATACTCGATACGCGGCACGGGAGCAGAGGTGGACTAAAGACTAGATAGTAGTAGAGAGGCGATCACTAGTTAGTAATTACCTACTACCCAGTACTTACTACCACTATATTGAATCTATTGATATTTGTTGCCTTGTCAGAGATATAAGTTACAACAACAATCTAGGCTACTTTCTTTAGGATATACGCTTAGGGAGTTAGGGAGGGACAGTTTCCTTTTTCTCCCTTAAGGGTTAAGGGAAGAGGCGTTCTGCTATTAGCGGTTTACGAAGTAAGGCATCAGGGCTCGCCTGTGATTGGCTAGACGCGACAGATCTGGCTACGATGCTGGCTACGATGCTTGAAGCAGCGCACAAGGAGATGCAAAAGCGGCTGAAAAATGGTACTTGGTGAATGGATGATTGTCCTTCTAAAAAGACGAAAAATCAGAAGACTCTAATATCACTTCGATGGGTCTTCCGCATCAAGGATGACGGCACTTACAGAGCCCGCCTGGTTGCAAAACGCTTCAAGCAGCGTGAAGGGATCGACTAACTTGACGTCTACGCCGGTACGGCCAAGGCTTCAAGCTTCAAAATACTCTGCGCGATCGCAGCCCAATACGCTTGGAATATACATCACGTCGGTTGCGTGGCTACGTTCTCGAACATCGAATTAATGGAAGAAATTTACATAGATCTTCCTGAAGGTTTCAAAGAGCCTAGGAAATGCGGCCTCCTTCTCAAAACGCTATAGGGCCCGAAGCAGAGCCCAAATGAGTGGTATATAACCGTTTATAATGCACTCCTTGCCATTGAATTCAAACGTCTACAGGCCGATCACCCAGTCTTCGTTAACATGAAACGCAAGCTCTATGTCCTTCTGCATGTCGATGATATGTTGATCATCACACCTTCTGACGATGCGCGAAGCTGGCTAAAAGACCGAATCAAAAAGACAATCAATATCACCTCACCGATAACGACCAAGTCAGCACATTCCTTGGAGTTGATATCATTCAAATAGACGGTCGGGTCTACCTTTCGCAGGTGGCGTATATACACAAATTTGAATAGATTTGGACTTCAAGATACGCATATAGTGCCTTCGCCCTTTCATGACAAGGAAATCTTATTACCGTGTGAGGACACGGCATGAGCTGATGAGATCGAGCTTTTCCGAAAATTGGTTGGCTCAATGATTTGGCTCATGGTAAATACAAGAGCAGAGATCTCTTTTCCAGTAATCAAGCTGACCCGTTACGCACACAACCCTTCAACTCCTGATTACTGTGCCGTTCAGCACACCTGCGTGTGAAATGTCATATCATTACTGTATCAGTTGATATCATACGTATTATACGCTAGCGTGGAAGCACGGCTCGTTAATAGGTCCGCTAATGGCCATGTTCAAGTAACAAAAAAGAACCAGGATCCTATCAGTCAGCTGATGCAATACTCATTTTTACTCTGTGGGCGTAACAATACTATTTCGTACCTTGACGTGAAAATCAGGGGCCCAGACGGGGGCCATAAAACAGATGTGACTTTCGGATGTAGGATGTACTTTTTCTAGTCGTACATGGGCCGCTAGTGTAGAAACAACATTAGTCACTGAACCTAAACTACCCAAGACCATCTAATCTGCTCCTTGTTTCTGGTCTTCGAGTCTTCAGAACAACGAATATAATCAATTTCCGCTCTTCAACTGTCGATATACGACACCGTCACATTTGATAAAATGATATCTATGGACACTGTGGCCACACAGAGAACAGCTCTAATGCTTTTGATCGTGATCTGGGTCTTGACCCTTCTGGCCACAGCGTGCGTTGTCATTCGCCTCTGCGTTAGAAAGTATATGCATATTTGTGGATTGGACGACTGTATTATCGGGCTATCGATGGTGAGTGTATTTGTTCATTAGTAACCTCCTAAAGCTTTCTGGATAAATACTGATCTGGTTCGATTCAAAAAAGGGAATTGGATTGTCGTTCGCCGTTGCGGCGACGTTGTCCATTCATCACGGATATGGTCAGCATTATAAAGAACTTAACTCAGAGCAGGCTTCGAAAGCTCTGATGTGGAACGTGATCTCCTTACTTCTTGGTACTTTCGTTTGCGCACTGACAAAGCTGGCCGTTGCGGCTCATCTGGATCGGATTTGGGGACGAGTCCTCAGCCTTTCAAGCCGAAACCTCATGTGGATCTTAACGGGCATGGCGCCTCTATTTGCCCTGGTCACCATAATAATATTCATCACCGAATGCAAGCCGTTGAACGCCCTTTGGGCTCCGGCAATGGTGGAAGCGGGACAAGCTACGTGTCGCGATGTTTCGACTCTGATACTCTTTGCTACTTTCAATGGCGGTGAGGAATACAGCCCGTAAATTCGAAAGGTTTACGCTGACCGGTGTGACTATTTCTTCAGCTGTCTCTGCATTCATTGATCTCTACCTGGCTGTCTTTCCTGGACTTGTCTTCTTTCGGCTTTTGCAAATGACGTGGGTCAGGAAAACTGCGCTCTCTGCTGTATTTGGGCTTGGATTAGTGTAAGATATCACTACCACGAAAATTGCGCTTTCCCTACTTAGTCACGAACGTTAACCTTCCTTTCCCAGGATTGCAATTCTGGCGATTGTTAGATGTGCACAAATTAAAAGGCTGGCCGATCTGGCTGATCCAACTTGTAAGTTATACCTATAACTTTGGGACGCATAGTCGTGCTGATAGTCGTGAAACCAAAGACGCATCAGTGCCCTTACTCTTATGGACGAGGTATGTAATGAATTCTACCATGGTGATAATTCTGCTGCGTCGATAACTGACGTTTATCCAGCGCGGAGGCAAATACTATGATCATAGCTGCTTGCGTTCCAGCACTCCTTATATTATTGAGATCCAGAGGCGCGCCAAGAGGGGGAAAAGAATACAGCGGTCATGACCAGGCCTACGAGGGAAGAATGCAGAACCTTTGAACAAAGAGTGACCCAAAAGCATTCCATCTGTGACGATCGGGACTGCCACCAAGCGGATCGACTGTGGCCTGAGAGATCTAGCAGAGTGAAGAAGGGGAAGGTTGGAATACCACACTACTTCAGCTTCTGGACTAGCGCTAAAAATTCGTGGAAAGCCCCTAAGTTTGCCTGATGAACTTGATCCACGGTCGAGGTCACGACATGAAAGAAAGTCTTGTGACGAGTACGACAATTTGTGTTTGAGGCCTAGTCATACTCTTTAACTAATGCCTCGCCAAGGACTCTATCGCGATAGACTGCTGGACATAGGTTCGTCCTAACACTATTATCATCCTCAAAATTTCTAGAAATAAGAGCGTGAAAACAGGTTGAATGGCGCAGGGACCTGAAGACCCTATAGAATAGAAGCGAAGCTGAGTTGTACTTGTCTCTTAAGCATGCAACTAGAACTTATCTACGTCACCGATATCTCCTTCACGGCACAGATAGGTATATTTATTTATCGTATGTCATTCAGTCCGTGGCTACGCAAGTCAGCGCTATATGGAACCTTTCTCTCTGTACTGATCTCACCTCCGCTTTTAGTCTCTCTTGGCTGTGTCTATTCTGCATAGCCTCCCGTGATACTTTCCAGGCCGGAAACATCTGGAATTTGACTGGCTTACCACTCAGTGTCCCTGTTTATGCTACCTTCAAAGTTATAAAATGTGATCAAGGAAACGGTCTACGCAAGGCAGACACCGCACTAATAATAAGAGCCGAGCTACGAGAATTGATCGTTCACCAGATTTTTGTTTAGTAGGCAAGAGGTAGCGACATATCTCAATAACAGTATAGCGTTTTATTGCTGATTTGAGTAGCCTTGGACAAAGAACACACCGCCTTATGTATCCATCCGCCAGCTTGATTGTACATGAATCAGATCTGAAAGCTGAAACACGAGGAAGCTAAGCCATCTAGAGCGAAAGCCGCCCCAGCTACAATGACAGTCACTATTAAAGATAATGAAGACTAAAATCGAATATTTTCCCAGATTATTCCTAGTACCGACCGCCTAACGACTGTGTGTAGAACTCGGATGTACGAGCAGATCTGAAGCGAAATTTCACATCAGCCGATTTTTATCTAACCGGATAAGGAGATCAATCTGGTTGATGATGGTCAATACGTCGCCGGGGGTGACGAAAAGGTCTTCCGTGCCGTTTGAATAAGTAGTTCATCTGAGATGGACCAAGTTTGACGAGGGCCAAAAAAATCGCGATATGTAGGAAATAAAGCTCTGAGTACACAGAAATTTGAAGAATCACATCTTCGGTCATGCGGGTGCGAGGCTTGACTGCATCTCTATTTCAGCGGCGGAGGAGGCGCTCCCGGCTTCATTACGCCGGTAGTATCGTACCCACCACGAGCCAGAAGGAGTGCGGTAATGATGAAATCAACCGCTATTGAGTATGGTGATTTGCAATAGAGGTCGCGGAAAGTTTTCGAGTGCTTCAAACTCGAAAAATGATGCCAGAGGCAGAAAGCTCCAAGCGAGTCAATCGAAAATAGAAGCGAAATTAGTGCTAACTTCATCAAGCGTAACTTCAATAGCCCCAGTGGATAGCAGTATTGATGGTAGGTTGGGTCGTTCTCAACGGGGCGCCGAAGCGAAGTGTCGTCAGGTAGATCCAATCTGCGGGGTCGACGGCTCGAGATGTGACGGAAAGGGGGACCTAGGTAACCCTGACTTAATGACCTCAATTCATCGTAGCCCGGCTACAGTACTCCGAGATATTTCCGGCGAATGAACAATGAACCAAGGTTTCTGCAACCGAGCCGTGCGTATCTCCTGGTGGGCTGGGCTCACCACGCAGCAAGGAAGTTCATAATCCAGGTGATACCTTTGTATTTTACGAAAGGAATTGTCCGAACGGAACTAGGAAGCTTGGCCTGTAAGCGCTCGAGCTCTCAAGAGCACTGGGGCTTCTCATTCATCTATATCCCGCTGACACAGTCTTCGCTCCCGTCATGACACACCACAGGGAATGTCATTCTAGTGGCGTCTGCGTTGTCACTGCTGTCTTGAGTAAGGCAATTTCTAGCGTCCTCTGCCAGTTGTGTAGTCAGGCACTTTCTATTGAAGATAAACTGAAGAGGCCATCAAACGCTGTTAGGCCTTGAGAGCTTTTGAGCTTACCTGAAGAGATGAGACGCTTTTGATCCTCTGATTTACGGTAATTAATTGAAAGCTACGTCGTAAGGGGTCATAGTTCTGCTATGCTGAGTGTCAGAAGACGGGAATCAAATCGCTGAGCTTTGCGCTCATCTTGTCCGATGTCATCCCCGCTCGTACTTGAACTATGCTATCCGGATCAGAGACAATTTTCCTACTGTCTGGTTTATGCACCTTAGTCTTAGGCGGTGGAAGCGTGATCTTGGCAGAAGTAGTATCTTGATATGATCCCCTGTAAGGGTTCCCCTCCATTCCACCCTATAGATTGCTCTCTCTGCTACAGAAATCAAGATCTGCTTAAAGGGCGTAGAACAAAATAGAAGGGAGCCATTTTATGATAATTGTCAGTAGTAGTACTTGACGGACTACGATGCCGACGTGATAAAGTCAGAAATCTTCGATATTGCGATATATTCTCATCATATTGAATTTCGTCATCATCTAAGCCCGTATTACAACCAACCAATCGAAATATACCTTAGCACTGAGAACTCTGTACGGTTAGATAGTCAGAGTATCGTAGCCGTGCGAACTGTATATCGTATCAGAACAAGTCAATGAAGTTTAAACCTTTTCATAGAAGGGCTTAGCTCTTGCTAGCATAGGTTTTCTTCGCCATTTAAATAGCACCAATTTGTCATCATCAGCTAGGTGTGACGTAGGCATTCAAGTAGGAGGATAGCTTACGGGAAGGAGCTAAAAGTCCAGAAGGTCCACAGACCAGAAATATGATACCTCGAAAATAACCAGGGGGAGCGTCGCGTTCGGGATACAAAGACGCAGACAGACTCTCCTAGGCTTATCACGCTGGACGAACTTCGTTACAATCAGAATGTAATCCAAATGTCACCAGCGGCAATTGCATGAATGGCTAGAATGTCTCTTTGCTACTAAAATCTATGATAAGTACTTGAAAGCAGAGGAAAGGAAAGAGGATAGCAAAAGGCATACTGTGAATAGTATACATTTTCATACCACGGGAGGCTGAAGGTAATATTAACCCCCGGCACTTAAGGTCTCTCAAGAACAGGCATTAATTCAAAAAGTCTCTTAGTGAAAATTAAGAAACGTCCTGGCTCTAAACTTTCAGGAGATGCTTTCTGAATATACCTTCGAACATTGTATCCTAGCCAACAGTATACAGATATGTAGAAGTATGAGAGTCAAGACATTTTCGTTATCGAGAACACTCTATATCCCTGCCTGAACCGCTGGTATACACGACTGATGTAATAGCAGCCTGCGGTGACTAACGAAACTATGTCATCGAAAATTTAGAAAGGATAGTACGTAGTTGAGTTGATTCTTCCCGCGTCCTAAGTCAAGCGATTCCTAGCCAGGAAGCCATAAGTTAGAGCAAACACCCGAAGTTAACCTGGCTGACTACCTAGAAAGGGCTTGTAAAAGTGATGAGGTAGTACTTACTTAAGTGAACGCTAGCCAGAGGGGGTAGAGATGGCGTTGTGTTGCAGGAGTACATGTAGGGAGCTGGAGGCTCATACTCGTCGCTCTCCTCGGTGTTGGGTGTCGGACAAATGTCCCAAGGCGCCGAAAGGTAAGACACAGGTAAACCACGGCTGTCAACACTGGCTTGACTGTGGGTGTTCACGCGAGTCGAGGTCGGAGCTTCGGGGTCTGTATCCCAGGGCAGAAACCAGGAATCCGGACGGGCATTAATCAAATCTTGCTCTCGTCGTAGTAAAGTCTTTAATTTCTTGTGAAGTGTGTCAAAGAACGACTTCAACCGGATATGTAAGATTTCAAAGTGAGTTTTCAAAGCCATCAGCCAAGCTGTATAAGTTTGTATTAGAAGTCGATGGAGCAGATGGGCGGAGATGAGGTATGTAAATCCAATATATAGAGTATAATACAGCGCTAGTTAGTATTAAGCGGCGTATCAGTTCACGATATGTTCAAATAATCCCCTTAAAATATGCCGTCTTTCTATATACGACTAATATCATAATAAGTAATCCTAGGTATTAGTGGGTCTGTATTATAGGTCATACGGTATAGGATTGGCTGCGCAGAGGACGTACTGGATGTGGAGTGGAGACACGAAGTGCGTACTGGATACGCGGTATAGGATTGGTTGCGCAGAGGGCGTACTGGATGTGGAGTGGAGACACAAAGTGCGTACTGGATACGCGGTATAGGATTGGTTGCGCAGAGGGCGTACTGGATGTGGAGTGGAGACACGAAGTGCGTACTGGATACGCGGCATAGGATTGGCTGTTTAGAGGGCGTACCGGAGCTGAGATATGGGCCAGTTTAAGCGAAAGTTTAGGAGGACTTTACACATGCCCTTCTCGATAAGGCGCAGGCCTTGGTAAAGCGCTGAAAAGAAAAGTGGCCTAATGCGGCTAGAGCTAGCTCATTGAAGCGTTGCTATTGGTCCTGAGGACACCACTCGCATAGAAGACTCAATGCCATATGTATCCATCCAATAGCGGGAATAAGCATCGACAATGTGATAGATAGAGAGCGATGGTCATAGGATTCGATTTACAATGTCCCTTGCATAATACAGTTACGGGCGTACCACGTTTCACCTACCCAGCTCTACATTTCAAGGGTCCAAGAAGCGTCAGCACGTGCGCTAGGAAAGTCCTCATGCGTGTAAGTCCTCATGCGTGTATGCTACCTTATCCGTTCTTTCTTGTCGTATGGCATTTACATTATATGAACTATGACACCGGGAATAATATTTGAAGAAGTCATCCATGGTGGTACATGGTTTACCGCCGGGCTCTGGCCCGTCACCGGAATCTCTATCGAGGTTGAAGACTGGCATAGCATTCGGTGTCCCGGTCATAGTGCCTTCAATGTCGCAAATTCCGATCAAAGAAACGGTTGAGGCAAGGCGGACATCGCGCCAATAGAGAGATCTCGGGGCGGGAACCGAGACCGCACCAGAATTCCTAAATTAGGTGGATGTAGGAGCAAGATATAGGAGCAAGATAGCTGAATGGAAATATAGCTTTTCATTACAGACTTGAATGGCTGAGGTTGAATGGCCGATCGCCCTGAACATTCATCTCTTGATTGCTTGTACATGAATGGGATTTCAACATCTGAAAGAGATAAGACCTTCAATACGGCAGCACGAATCACTATGTGAAGTCTTCGAAGTTGAGAGTAAATCTGGAGTAGACTTTGACTATCACCGCTTTGAAATCAATATAGCCAGAAGATAGCCGGGGTGATGAGGGCCAATATGTGACAGAGGGTGATCGAAGTGTCGTCTGTGGTGGCTTTATGAGTGCCGAACCTGATGCGAGCCCAAATCTAACTCATGTCAGAAAATCGCACCGATTGGAAGATCAATATTAACCTCCACGCTCATTCGAAGAAGTACGTACTCCCTGACAAGGGTGTGAAGATCGACTGCATCTCTATTTCGGCGGCGGAGGGCGCGCTCCCGGCTTCTTGACGCCAGTAGTGTCGTACGCACCACGAGCCATAGGGAATGTGGTAATGGTATAATTCATTGCTGTTGCGTTTGCTGATATGACAGAGAGATTAAGAAAGATTCTATAAGTGCTCCAAACTTGAAAAATGATGCCAGGGGCAGAAAACCCTAACTAAGTCACCAAGAGAAGCGAAGTCAGCGCTTACTTGATCAAGCATAGTCTTTACTAGTTCAAGTTCATCCGCGGTATCATTTCGGTATGTGAGATTGGATACAGGGGGCCTCAAAGCGGATCGTTCTCTAGTAAATTCAATCTGAAAGATCCATGTTTCCGGATATGGTAAGGGGGATTTGACCTAACTAATGATTCCATCATAGCCCGGCTACAGTATCCCGAAAGTTTCTCAGGAAATAGACAATAAACGCTCGTTCTTCCAGCGATTGAGCCGCGAGGATGCTCTGGTGGCTCGGGTTTGATGAGATACGGCTACGGTAGAGGCAGAATGTCTGAGAGGGATAAGGAGTGAGATTGTTGAAGGGGAGAGATTCTACCTAAGCTATGGACTGTGGTGAGTGGCAGAATCACATGCCATGCAAACAGTATAGTAGTGGAAAAACCACTCGAGTCGATTTGACTCGGTGCATGTCATGATTTTCTTGCTCGTCCCGCCGGTTTACGACACTCAGCGAGTCACCAGGGCTTCAATCCCTTTCCATGATTTGTATGCGAGTACACTTCAACGCGTCCTTGCCATGTCAAGTCTCTTCTTTTTCTTTAGTCGAATTATTCGTCTCGCTATTCTTATTAGTCAATCAATTTTTTGTATTTCGGAGTTAAACAGAATATAGCCTTCAATTTGAACACGACATGTCCTAATTTGGACTCAATGAGTTCATCTCAGGCATGCTCCGGTGATCTCACTTACCTCAATACCTTTTGCAGATTAGATTTCTCTTTCCTTTCCTCCCTCAGGCTTTTCGACCTTCGTTGAATGCACAAGTTGATTTCGAACTTTTTGGCACGTAACATTACACGCACCCCCGTGCTGTCATTTTGTATGTTGTGTGAAATAATTATATACATAGGTGCGTGCTAGTAATAGGAACGATTATGTAAAAAATCAAGCAATTTTTAGAAGGGGCAGGATTGAATAGAATCTTTATATCATAGCAGGTAAGCCAAGTCTGATACAAACCGCATACGATCAGACTAGCGCCTAACAAGGCAAGCCAATCGGGCCCACTTTAGCTATCTCCTTTGAGGGTACAGTGTTGAAGGGTAAATGGCCCCGTTAACTTGTTTCACTAGTGCAAACGCGACCCCGGTCAGCGGTTTACATTAAATGGAGTGCACAAAAGCCGAGAAGACCAATAGTTGTTGGGTGCCAGTGTAGCGCCCTGGCTCCCTAACCCACAATGATCACGGATTGGAAGACAAATAAGATAGAATGAAAATGCACGGTTCTTGTATTCATCGAAAATATGCAAATCTACATACAAAGAGAGACCGCCGAACTTGTGCTCTTCCATGTTCCCGAATATGGTCCCCCGGAAAATTGTGAAGACCTTACTGAGTCTTAGTCTTGTTCAAGCCCGTCTAAAAAGCTAGCTTCTGCTGTGTATTTCGTGGATTCAGAGGGTCGTATTCAAGGGGCATGGGTCCAAAAGCTTTCTTCTACTCAACCCAAATTGAAATCAAGCACACCCACGGCATCCAATTGAGACATTACACATTCGAGGAAAGAATGGATTTCGATGATGTGTTCCAATCGACTACATCGGCAATCGCATTGTTCTGGTGCGGATCAGCCCTTCTTTTCTAGGTCATGTTGGTCAGGACACAGAGATTGAAAGAGCCACTCATTTATAGCCAGTTGATCATCTGCGTCTTCATTCTCTGGGGATCATTGGTTTCCATTTTACTTGCAACTCCGCAAATGAAGCTGATCAGCAGTAAGCGAATCTGTTCTGCTCGATGTCTTCCCATGATTCTGATGCTTCGCCAAGCATGTCGAGGCACATTTTACAGCCACTAACCCGCAGCGTGCTGCTTTCACTCATTCTCAACAAGGTAAGCTTTCTGAGATATGGAACAAGAGGCATGGTAATGACTATTTGCAGTACCTAAGCATGTCAACTTTGCAAAGTCTTGCGGTCCACTTGCTATTTGCTTCGTTCTTTTTTGGAATAGTTCTTATCTTGCCGCTATCGATGTATTATGTGGTCAGTTCAAACTCAATATTGACTCTACACTTTAAGGTTCCACATATTAAAAAAAGATACAGGGGCGCCGCGACATTCTATTTTCTCTATTCATGGTCTTTGCATTGGCTAAGCTAAGCTTCATCTATTACCAGATCATTAGAGCTTGGTTCGTTTGCATGAGACCCTTGCATATACATGAAACAATTTTAAGATCATTGTGGCATTACCTTAGCCTCATGGACGGCAAGCATCGGCGCTCCTTATGGGTGGCATCTGTTGTCTCGGTACGGACATTTCTTGTGTTGCTATGTTTATCAGTCTTGGATTCTATACAAACTAACTTACAGCCCCAAATAATGGCGGTGAGTATTCAATCCTCATATCCATTGTACGCTACTAACTCCCCATAGCTTCAGATTGCGATTATCAATCTGAGAATGGTGGTCGTTACTGTTCACTTTTTGCGGTTTCCGGACGATATAGATGTCATAATATTGCCCGAGAATCTTTGATTGCTCAAAATAAAGTAGACCCGGCTACCCTAGAATATGGCCAAAGGTCTCACTCATATAAAATGGACGTCATCCATATAATCGAACCTAATGTCCTTGTTTCTGGTTTCTGCTTTATCTTATTATTCATCAAAGGCCCACTGCGTTATTGGATTGCACTGACAAACGAAGTGAGTTGTTCCGAAAATCACGTCCGTCACATTCCATGATCTTTACCTGGATTTTGTGGTCTCTTCTACCTCTTCTGGTAGTCGGGATTTTCCACGGTATTCTTTTCGAGTCACTACTTCCTAGCGCAGGAATGCCTCGGCTATTATTTAGTCAATACCGTTCTGTTTTCGATCAAGCACTGGTCGTCCTAGGACTGAAAATGTGCCTCGTCAGAGGCGACAACAACATTCTGAATCCTATACACCAAGCCCGCATCGTAGCCAGCATCGCAGCCAGGAACGCAGTCAGAGACACGATCAATTAAACAAAAACGCAATAACAAATCCAGACTTGTCATGGTATGAATAAACAATCTCACAACAAGTAAGTTTCATGTGCACACAGCCCGGTATCAACAGAGTATAGCTATTGCTGATCGAACCAGACAGTCTGCATTTCACTGCTTCTTCTGCTTGGCTTGTTTCAGATGTTTGTCCCCCAAAT